TTTAAAAATAATTTACATATTCATCTATTTAAAAAATAAGTATCAACCTGTATTAAAAATTAAGTAAAAAGGTTTTAAAATTACTTTATTTTACTAAATCTTATTAAAAAAATTAAAATATTCTAATTATTTTTAAAGTAAAGATGTAAATGTTTTAATATTTTTTCATGAGATTTTATTAAAATGAATTAATTTTAAAATATTTTTTATCTAATTTTTTTACAAATCTAGCTGATAAACATTAATTTTTTTATCTATTACCCTTAAAAAAAAGTTAAAAGATAAAATAAGATTTTTTATAATTAAAATAATTAATCAAAATAAATAAATAATGATAAAATTAAAGTAGGAAAAATTTTTGTTTACTTTAAAAAATAAAAAAATACCAAGACAAATTCAAAGTCATATAATAACAATTATCTTGAAAGAAAATAAGTTGTAATTAAATGAAATGTTTTTAAAATTTGTGTTTTTAATGTATAGATTAAAGATATAGTAAATATATTTTTTTGTTATGAATTTATAAATTAATATTTAATTTATTAACTACCTAATTAAATTCATCAACTTAACATCAATATTAAAATTAATATCAATTTTAAAATTTTTTTATATATTTATTTATGATAAAAAAATATCTTTAATTTATATTTTCAAAACAAAAAATTAAATAAAAAAACCCTTAAATACAAAAGTGAATTGAAGCTTTGCCCATATTAGGAGCAATCAAGAGTTTGATTGATTGTGTATGGATGTTGACACCATACCTGTTATTTTATGGTGAGGATTAATGACATCAAAAATCAAGATCTTTATAAAAGAAATCTTATCTTTTAATGTCAAAGTTTACAGTTTTGGAGTAGGTAGAGTCAGTTATCCTTATCAATGTAAATAGGTTAATAGAATTATGGGGTCTGAGGGTATGAGTCCCAATCAAGCACCAAGTCAAGGCCGCGTCCTACTGAAAACAGTCTCATCATTTGACCGCGTTCATACATACCCTCAGAGTTCCATTTTGGATTCAAGCCCAACATCATTGCGCTTCTGGGAAAAAAATGAGAAAGCGTCCGAAAGTCATTCACCTTGGTTCTTTCGCCAAAGCCACCATTGAATTTTGTCTTCACTTCACAGTAAAAATCCATCATTTTGTCAATCCATTACGTCTCCCATGTGGGAATCGTGATTTCTAGAAATAAGCCGGAATTTTGATTC